CGTGTCTGCTGGCATTGCTGTTCGAGCTTTCGCAAAAGCCGGCATCATTTCCGAGGAGCCGCCCGGTACGGAAAGTGACTCTGACAGCAAAGAAGGGGAAATTGGCATGTCTGATTTAGCGCAGCTGTTTAATTCAGAAACAGAGGATGATGACTTCGATGGGTTTGATTAATACTTTGTAATAAATACATGAATAAAGGACAAACATACTCCGTTTTGCTCCCGCTCTATTTTTAAATACGCAGTAGAGGTATTTAAACGTAGTAGAGGATATTTACCGGTATATAAAACCTGCGCCCTATAATCCGGTGCGCCTTATGTTTGTGTTAAATACAGTAATGGCTCACATAACTGAGACTGCGCCTTTTAGTACGCTGCGCCTTATGGTCGTGAAAATACGATAATACAAAGTGAATCCAGTAGAACATTTTATTGCCAGGCCAGCACTGGAATGGGTGACAATAGTTGAATAAACTTTTGGCTCTCAAAATGGTATCTATGCCATATTTTTTGGTACTCACTGATACCAATACCACCATTTTAGTGCTGGATCGAGGCCCCGCCCCATACTGCAATCGGTGCAACACTAGTCATAACCATATACATAAAAAAATAAATATTGAGTGAAATGTATGGCTTTTATCGTATGTTTACCATAATGTTCCATTAATCCTATCCAAACAAAAATATGAGCTCTTTAATTTATTCTGCTTTTGATTACAGGTTTGGTGAAAAAAAAAAAAAGTGGGTCAGATTCTCTTTCCAGGAAATACACATGATAAAATATCTGAGCTTAAACACAAAACATTCCCCTTAAATAAACTACTGCAGGCTTTACGGAGCTTATTTCTACTTTTTAATGATTAGTTTAGAAACATGTCATCTCAGATCAACAGATTACAACCTGAAATACAGGGATGTCATGGGAGTCAAACAGCACTGTAATGCTCAGAAATACTGGAACTGCCTGGTTGTAGATTTAAACAGTTTTTGTTTAAATACGTGTATCAATAGACGTAAAATAAAATATTACCTTTTTTTCTTTTTTTTACAGCTGTTACTAAAAGAAAAAATTTTTATATTAATTATCCGCTGGGATTTTGTTCTGGATAGAAGGACCACTGCTCTACTGAAAGGAGTATTCAGAGACTATTGGAAGTGCAGTGCTGGCAGGAAGGTCATCAGCATTCATTTTCTCACCGGCTGTAGATAACCGTCTTAGCATCTTCACTGAGCATAAATCATCAATTGGACCTTGTGGCTAAAGCTGATTGCTGGTC